AGAGAGAGAGAGAGAGAGAGAGAGAGAGAGAGAGAGAGAGAGAGAGAGAGAGAGAGAGAGAGAGAGAGACACAGAGAGACACAGAGAGAAGGAGAGAAAGAGAGCAAATCGAGACGCAGTGACGAAAAATTAGCGCTTAATGCGCTTCCATTCCAAAAAATGAGGAAGTATGGACCATGGAAGCAACCGGCGTTCTCCCTACCGGTTTCGACCTCAGCGCCGGACTGAGGTCATCATCAGGGGACAGTATCTTGGGAACCAGAAGACATCGGAGTGAAAGAAAGGACAATGGGGCCGAGATGACGTGGAACAGATACATAGTGTGATCGGAATCAGTGGACGAAAAAACCCAGGAGAAGCGATGCAAAAAAGAAAAAGAAAAAGAAAAAGAAAAAGAAAAGAAAAAGAAAAAGAAAAAGAAAAAGAAAAAGAAAAAGAAAAAGAAAAGAAAAGAAGAAAAGAAAGAAACAGACGGTGGAAAAACAAGACATAAAAAAGCGGGAAAACAAACAGAAAAACAGAAAGAAGCAGTAAAGCAAAAAAACACAGAAAAGAAAAAGAAAAAAGAAAAAAGCGCGGGGAAACCAAGACAGAAAAAACAAGACAGAAAAACGGTGACGGGTCGGACCAGTACTTCATGCTTCCCCTTTTGTTGCGGGCTCCTCTTTTTCGATCTCAATTTCTACCTGCTGGGTTGTAGGATCGTATCCCCGTCCCTGCTTCCAACCCTGTCTCCAGGATTTCTTTCCATCCGTTAAGTCCTTGCTCGTTTCCCGTAGATAACTCACGAAGGGTCCTAAAAAAACAATCCTTCGGGAATCCTTTGAGTCTCAGTTCCCGTCTTAAAGATAACAACGAGGCACCCACTCCCCTATAGTCTGAGGAGTGGGCTAGGACCCTGTGCATGTGACATTTAACGGCAGCCTTCTTGTACTGTGTGGGTCCAAAGGACCAAAAATCTTTGGTGGATTGTATATCCATAGACCCCTTACTCCAAACGGAGTTATGATTCCTTGTCATGGCCACACATTCCACCTCGGGGGGCGTGGCTGAACATAAAACAGAACAGCCCAAAAAATCCCATCTACCTGTACCTTCGTCGGTTCTCACCAGTGAAAGGTTCGGGTCATAGGCTTTCTGAAATTTTTCTAGCAGCGATACTGCCTTACCCAACATTTCTTCATTCAGTTTTGGCAGTAGTAGAAAAATGCTCACATCGTCGACCAGTCTTATTCCGAAAATTTTATATCAGCGATACTGCCTTACCCAACATTTCTTCATTCAGTTTTGGCAGTAGTAGAAAAATGCTCACATCGTCGACCAGTCTTATTCCGGAAAAATATATTCGGTCGGTCCCAATGGATTCCAAGAATGTGCACTCGTTGTACGAGCACAGTAGGCAGGCTAATGCAGGGCTCGAACTTTTTCCCATTCGAATACCGACAGTCTGCTTGATGATCATGTCTGCCACATAAGCAAAAGAATTTTCTAGATCAAATCTAACATATTCAACTAACAGAGAAAACTTAATAGAGATCCACCCTCTTTCTCCAAGACTTGATGAAAAACAAGCCCCCTTGCCGCACCTGTTAACACGCACCTTCCTATGTCCTTGTCCAGTGAATACGTCACAAATCCATTCAACTGCTTTCAAGATAGATTTGTGTGGTAAACGGGTGAATATTTCTTTGACATCAAAGCAGGCTCCTATCAGGCAACCATTCCTCATCTTAGACGCTTGCTTATTAATGACTTGGACTTTCCCTTTGAGCAAAGAGGTGGACTTCAAATTGAAGTTAGATGCAGAAGGTAAGTTCCACAGAAGAAAGTTAATTGCTTTCGAGATTGTTTTGCAGGCCCTAATACTAGGATCGGCGTAGGAAGGCGAGATCGGGCGCCATCTTGAAACGTCCTTGTGCTTTGGGATGCCGTAACAGCAGCTGAGCGAACCCTTGGAGTTCCATGAAGCGATCTCCTTGGCCCCAATTTTATCATATTTCTCTTTGAATCTTCGCAATACGCTGCTACTCTCCTCATGAACCACTTGGAACCCCGGGTTTTCCCAATACAGCTTTGCTAAGGCCCGAAAATAGACATTTTTGCAGCAGACCAGCGAATCTCCAATGTTATGAACAATCGGGCAAACCACAAGATCATTAAACTTCGTCTTCCATTCCATCAGTGTTGAGAATCTATCATCATCCACCTTTGCTCCTTGGTTAGTTAAGCAATGTCTCAATTCATTGTTCGAAATTTTTAGAGACCCTGGGCAATGTTTAAGGCTAACTTCAACAATTTTCCTGAGGTAACTTGTTGAGGGTGCCCTCTCAAAATGCAAGGAATTCCTGGAGTTGCTCAGGAACCCGGGAAAATCAGAGAATTCAGAGAACCGGAAAAAAACATGCCCCTCATCATCGGTTGGCAATCCGGCCCTACTTATCAGACATCGACATTCAGACACAGGCTCTTTTGCCACCAGCCTGTGGTTGTGGAGATGCTTGCCTATGGTTTTCGGCCCACTCCAGACAAACCTAGCTCGGGAAATAATGAAGTCCGCGACACACGGAGGCTGGCAGCGCCTCCTAATTTCCTTCTTTACCAAATTCATTATGTCGTGTCTTCGAATGTCAACAGAAAACACGCTCTTTACGCGAGCCATCGAAACCCACATTTTATTTTAATTACTCTCCCTACAACCCCCTTCAAGATAGCCCTAGTCCTGCCATTGCCGAAAGATTCAATGCAATTATAGTCTGATTAGTGCGCTGATTTCGAATCCATATAACATTCGCCTGGAGGCAGGTAGCTGAAGAAGGGATAGCAAAACAATCTTTCTTTGTTCCATGCCACAGTTAGCTGTTCTGATATGCAGAACAGTGAATGTGCCCCCCCTCATAAATTCACCTTTCGCATCTTTCAAAAACATTTTGCTGCCGTCTTGCTCAATGATCGTCCAACCGAACTTCTTTTTCAGTCTGCCCCATCCATCGAGAAGGATGCAGCCTCCCTTACTCCTAATAGTGGCCGAGTAGTGTCTAGAGCCCAGAGAATTATTAAGTGCTGAAAACAACGAAAAAATCTCTGGCTTCCCTTGCGGGGCCAGGGCAGTTCCGGCGGCTACATTCCATGAGATAAGACTATGTCCTGTGTGGGGGCTTCCGGTATCTCCAAACTTCTTTCTCAGGTAAGCGTTACGCTCCCTTTTTCCTTTTCTTCGAGACTTCCGTCGTCTGTTTTTTATATGTGTATTCAGCACAGGCCCCCATCTAGCAATGCAGGATGCCTCAACATCCCTTAATTTGATTTTTGGTACGGAGACCAGCGGGATGGCGACGTAGTTCTCCCACCCTTTAGCAGCTAGCCACTTCCGAAGCTTGTGATTGCGTCTATTCTCAAGGTGCATCCCTGACAACACATGCTCATCCCATCTTTCCGAAACGCCCCTACTCGTGGATCCTATGTATGTGGCCCTAAACCAGGGGGATATCAAGACATACACACAACAACCATCCCCTTTGCAGACATCATAGCCTCCCCGCACAGAGTCAAGCCATTGGTTGAGAAATTTCTCTCCCCATGTGATCTGCCCAAACACTATGAAAAGTAACAAGAACAGTTTCAAGTACTGCTCCAGTAACTGCTTCTTCTCGCCGCGCAGCTCCTTCCTTCTTCTTATTTCACGGATCCTCCGGATCCGGTCCCATAGCCAATCAGGGGTATAATGGGACTCAAGAAGGGTTCTCTTCTTGGGTCTCCTCCGTTGTTTCTTCTACATGGTCATCCTCCTCTCCTTCCTCCCCATAGGCATCCCGAACTCGTATTGCGGTAAGGTCAGCAACCGCCTGCTTCTTATTATGATATTTAATCTTGTCTTTGTTACAGAGCTCCAGGAGTTCTTGCTTATACTTCGCCGTCAGTTCCTTCTCCATATCTTTCCGATACTGCCTTCTTCCGTCCGGTCCTGGATTGGCCACCACAGCTTTCCTCCCTTCTCTAACACGATCAAACCCCAGACCCGGTGGAGTCCCCAATCCAACAGCAGATAGACTACCAGACATGCGTCTCGCTGTCCCTGCTACTGAGGCAAAAACTTCGGCAAGGCGACCCGTTGTCCTGCCAGCAGCCGGTGTCTGTGTCTCGGACGGTCCTGGCCTATCCTGGACAGGAATGCTTGCAGGAGGAGGAGGTGCCCTGCTCCGAGTGACTGGCCTGTTGGTCACTTCAGTCGTTGGTTCACGAATACTAACTCCATTAGTCCGTCTCACGGAAGGACCCGGGGCGCCAGGGGGAGGGGGAGGGGGAGCCGGAGGGGAGGGGGAGCCGGAGGGGAGGGGGAGCCGGAAGGGATGGAGGAGGGGATGGTGGCGGGGAGAGGCGAGGTGAGGCAGGTCTGGGGGRAGGRGGTGGGGGTGGGGGTTGTGCTGTTGGACGATGAGGCATGGCCGCAGGAGGTTGTGCTGGTGGAGGAGGAGCAGGCTGGTGGACAGGGAGTTGGGCTCCAGGAGCAGGGGGTTCGGCGGGATATACTGTCCTAGGTGGAGGAAAACCTTGACGAGAAGAATCGGCTCGAGCAGCTCTAGACGTAGGTTCAATATGGGTACTGCAACTAGGTGCGGTCTGAAACGGTGGTGCAACAGCGGAGTTGGCACGATGGGATGCTTCAAATCTCTCCAGCATTCCCATCATCCGCTCGAACATGGCATTCTGCTGCGCCTGCTGTCGTTCCATCAACTTATTCTGCTGTGCCTGCGCTTGCTGGACAGAATCAATATTCATCAGCAGCAGTCCGGCGTCGAGTGCTCCCACTTCATTCACCCTCTGTCGAGGGGTCGAGGGGTCGAGGGTTGGCCTGTGGAAGCTCCAGCCATTTCGTCCTGTCCTCTTTTCTCATTCTCCGCATTTGCCTTGTCTCCTTCAACCACCTCTGTGCCTTTACATTTCTCGAGCTTTTCCCACAATTTTTTATTATCTTCCTCCCTCTTCTTTTCCATCTCACTCCACCTTTCGTTCATCATCTTAGCTAATCGTGCCTCCTTCTCCGCTTCCTTCCTGGCATCCTCTTCCGCCCTCGTAGTCTCTGCTTCCTTCGCTAATCTCTCCTGCTCTTCCCTCGCCCTGCGCTCGTTTTCCATTCTTCTAATCTCCCTTAACTCCCTGTTATCATAGGCAATTTCTCTAAACAAAGTAATTAGTTCACCATCTCTCGATCTCGGATTCCAATTGTTCCATCCCGTCGCCCCTTGGTAGGGGGAGATCGGGCGGGGCTGGTACGGGACAAGGGCCATGGGGTGATTTCGGGGAGACCGATTTCAGGGCCAGCATATGGCCCGTCGACATCACGTGGACAGCCGCTTCTTCCACCACCTTCTCAATACGCACCATCCGCCCCACCGTTGCCAACCTCCACTGCCCCAATCACCACTCTTCCGCAGTACGCACCTTCCGCTCCTCCGTTACCTGCCCCCTCCGCAACGGGCAGTTCCTGGCCCAATGGCCATGCTGCTTACAATTAAAGCAAGCGCCGTAGGGGACAAAGTTGTCTCCCATCTTCCTGATGCTAATCTCTGTCGCCGAGATTGACACAGTACCCGGTTGCCAGCGGCAGCCTCTGCCGCAGAGAGAATCAAACAATCGGGAGAGGTTTCTTCAAACCTTCAGTAGCATGTGTACACCTAGCATCGGGGACCGTACGCCGGAGAGATCTTGAATCTTGAATCTTGAATCTTGAATCTTGAATCTTGAATCTTGAATCTTGAATCTTGAATCCTTCGTAACGAAGGAGCGAATCCACCACACCGCGGTCTTCACGGTGGTTAACGCGCTATGCGTGATCGATGAGTAGTGCGATGTGCAACAACACACGGCACGATGCTCGGGGCAAGCCCTGAGATCGACCCTCATTAATGCTCCAAGAACTCAGCTCGTGTCAGATTCCCCTTCTGCTCATACAGCCAAATTTTAATGACGGCATCATAGATGGAGGGAGGGAGAGGAGAGACTTGACCCAATTGACGGAACTGAGACGATGGAGGGAGGGAGAGGAGAGCCAGCAGGTGTCGCTCCCCACCAATAGACACGGAGCCGCCATGAGAAGTAGTAGTGGTGTCTGCTTTCACCAGCACCACTATTACCACCTCCTCTGGCCGCCACGAGAAGTAGTAGTGGTGTCTGCTTTCACCAGCACCACTACTACCACCTCCTCTGGCCGTTTTTTCAAAGATAACATCTATGATGCCGTCATAGATGGAGGGAGGGAGAGGAGAGCCAAATTTTAATGACGGCATCATAGATGGAGGGAGGGAGAGGAGAGACTTGACCCATACGGCCAAATTTTAACTCACGAAGGGCCCTGACTTGACCCAATCGACGTAGCAGATGACATCATGTCTTCCCGGCGATTGGCTGTGGAAAGTGCATGGCTGAAAACTCTCTCTCTCTCTCTCTCTCTCTCTCTCTCTCTCTCTATATATATATATATATATATCGTCAAATAGAACTGCCCGGTAAACCGTAGGCAGAGAGGGAGAAGAGGACAACAAACNTCTCTCTCTCTCTATATATATATATATATATATCGTCAAATAGAACTGCCCGGTAAACCGTAGGCAGAGAGGGAGAAGAGGACAACAAACGAGGGGTTGTGACAAACTGTTTCGTCGGAGTTTCACCGACTCATCAGGAGGCTATATATATATATGTCGAATCATACTTTATTCTGGATTATTGACCGACTCTCGTGTGACCGAACACAGATTTCGTCAAGTGATTATTGCTCTGTCTCTCTCGAGACGTGTGCTGTCGCCATTTCCGAATCGCACATCACGGATATTGCAGAAGACGAAGGAAAAGGTATTGGAGAAGAAGAAGGAGAAGAAGAAGAAGGAGAAGGAGAAGGAGAAGAAGAAGAAAGGCAAGGAATGGAAGAAGAAGGAGGAGGAAACATAGGAGTGGAAGAAAAAAACGCGAAAAAAATATAATAAAATACGAAAACTAAACCTATAACTCGTCACCACCAAAAAAAATAACAAAAACGAAAACTCAACCTAAAACTCGTCACCACCACCCCCGCCCCCGCCCCCATCTCCTCCTTCATCTCCCGAACTCAAAGGACTGTGGTAGGTCCCGTTATTGGTAGAGGCGGCGGGCGTCCAATCGACGGGGTCGGGACCCCATCCCGGCCCACCATGCTCCCACCCAGAACCGTTCGCAGTCGGCCAGCCCCCGCCATCGCTCGCTAAACCCCACCCACCGCCGTCTTCCGCTTGCGTCAAGGTTCCCCAACCCCCGCCATGACCTCCTTCCTCAGTCACTGCACCGCCCCCCCCACCGCCGACGCCGACCTGCCCGCCCGCATTCTGGGGAACGGTTTGGCCATGCGCCGTCGATGACGTGGTGGCTGACGGGGCCGCCACGTCGGCAGTCCCCGTGCTAACGGCGGCTCCTCCCTGTGCGGGGTTGTTCCTACTCCCGTCCGGCATGGTCTCTCTCTCTCTCTCTCTCTCTCCCCCCCCACACACACACACAACGACCTTCGCGCCTATGGCCGCCGTCAGCTATGGCGCACACAGCCGCCGGTACGGGTTCCGCCTAGCGCTGCCCATCCGCTATGGCGCGTAATGCCGCCGTCCGCAATGGCGCCTATGCCACCTATGCCCGCCGTCTCTCTCTCTCTCTCTCTCTCTCTCTCTCTCTCTCTCTCTCTCTCTCTCTCTCTCTCTCTCTCTCTCTCTCTCTCTCGTAGGAGGTCGCTCTCT